CTACAGACTGACCAAGCTGAAGGTGGTGCTGATGATCTGCAAAGACGATGCGGAACCACCCGGGTGTGGAGCAGGAGAACGCCTGGCCACAGCTCAACACCACCTTGTGTCTGAGGAACTGCCTCCACAGGGACAACTCCTCCTCAAACGATGACTCTCTGAGATACTACCAAAACAGAGAGACGGGTGACATATTAGCCTCGGAAATGTACGCACATTGTTTTCAAGAAATTAGGAGAACAGTGGAATAAATTGTGTGATATGCATTTGTCTATTCAACAATTAGAACTATATTACAAGCTACAGTATTTTAATCTAACTTTGGTCCTGTTACCTTTCTGAGATCAGCCCAGACATACAGAGCAGCCGGCCTGTCCAGGAAGGGGATGCCCATACTGAGCAGCTCTCCGGTCACATAGGTGTGAGCAGCTTTCAGTCTCCGTCTGTTCTCAGGCAAAAATTCCTCATTGATCCACTCTACAACAAGAGAATGTGAAGTGACAATAGGCAAGTGTAAATTAAATGTTACAAGTCTTTGTGCAGCTTGATGTGGAGCAGAGCCCCATGCTGTGTTCCTGTCACATCAGAGGAAGCCGAAAAGGGGGGACTGATATTTCTTGCAAGCAAAGAAAGCATTAAGAAGCACACATTTGAATTGTTGAAAAGCTTGCATCAAAAATAATTTGCATATATGAATTTAAACTCATCCATACACAGACTGCTTGCTTTGAGTAAAGGCAGCTGATTGTAAAAGTGTGAATTTTGACTTTTCTTTTGACCAAACTGAGCTGAAAAAACTGACATCAGACGAAATATGATGTTACAACTGCAGTGTGTTTGCAAAAGCATGCGTCAAGCTAGGATCATACCTCTGTCCTGAAGCAGCTGCACTACCTGGTGCTGGGAGGGCCCAGGGATGCCATGAAAGGAGCCCAGCTGGGCCAAAGCCTCCACAAGGTCTTTGTTCTCGGTGTACAGGGTGCCTATTCTGATTCCTGCCATTGCAAAGTCCTAGAAAGGACAACACAAAGTCAATGAAAAAGAACTGCGAAAGCAAACACCCGACGAAGGAGAGATTTCACTGTATTGTGAGAAGGGATATAAAAAGTCTCACAGTCTCATACTGTCAAAGCTCAGCACAGTACGTACCTTGCTCATCCCCCACATTACATGTGTCCTCTGTGGGTCGGGCAAACTGAAATAAGGGCACATCATCAGGAGATAAGAGGATGTCTTCAGCCACAATAGTGATGATTAAGGGTCTAATAGAATAATCATGCCGAGGTTAGTACCTGTCTAAACTGAGGACACTGTGAAAGGTGACAGATTCATCAAAGACCGTCAGCATGTACACTTCATCGACGATGGCGTGGAGCTCGTGTCTAAAGCAGGAAACGAGGGAGAGACAAATAATGTAAACATATACGTAGTTTCAGTGCAGCATTAATAGAGCCCCGGTTTTATATTGTTAATGACTGTTTATGACAAAGAAAAGGCAGTATAAATGCAAAATGTTTCCTTCAGCATCCCATGTCAGTGTAAAAGCACCGTGGTTTATGGTTACAACAGCTCAGTGCCTGGAAGGGTCTATGGAGAGAATTACACTGGCAAGATCATTTAGAAAACAATAGATGATGCAGAAGACTCTTTGGCACATGGCTGCACTTGACAATATGCTGATGGTTAGGAGAGGTGATAAAACTCAATCAAGAGCGCTTGATATTCCGCACACGGGACAAAGCTCTCGGCCGTAAAGTAAAAGAGATCACAGCAGGAATTATATGCAGTGAATTGGCAATGTGTCTCAAAGAACCACGGGGCTGCAGACCAGGGGGACTGCAGTGTTAGGTCACAGTGTGGGACAACAGGGGGACGAACGTACCTTTTGGCAAACTCCAAGAAGGCAATCATGTCCTTTAGGGTGTAGATCTCAGCAAGTGGGTTGTGGGGGTTCATCAGGATTACAGCTCGAATGATCAGCCCCTGAAAGAAATTAGTATTCTCTAAGTAGAAGTAAACTGATGTAGTGCATCTTCACAGTCTGCACACACAAAGCTAGAAAAACAAATCTCTGAGAAAAATAGAGCATTCACAGTGTTTACCTAAACTGGGAACTTTGCCCGAGTATTTCTGGAGTGATTCTGTCTTTTTTTTAAATATTCATTAAGGGCAAGTGCTTAAGAAAACATGCTCTCATGAGTTACCGCTTGCTTAGCCCTTTTCAGACCTTCTTCGAGTTTCCCCACAGTGAGGCGGAAGGGTCGGCCGTCTTCGCCATCAGGCTATAAATAAAAAGTAGCGAGAGGAAAAGGAAAAAATAATACATCAACATTTAAACTGACTAGCTGAGAATACGCTCGGCTTGCACGGTGCAAAGGCGAAAGCACAAAATAAACATGTTTAGCGAAGATTTCAAACGAGGACATCGGGTTCTGTATTCCTACCTCGCAATCAAGAGGAACGTGGAAGAGTTTTACGTCACTGTACAAATGCAGATCTTCAGTGATAACACCATAGAAGGGAGTAGGGATGAGAATTGCATCTACGACATAGAAAGAGACATCTAAATACATACACAGACACACACACATGTAGAAATATACCATCTCCTTGTTACACCCAACTTATAAATGACACATTGTATTTGAATGAACATAAACAGTGTATATGACTAATTTTAAATGACCCACATCAAAGTGGGATTTGGGTTATTTGTGGTCATAATGTGGAACAAATTGATGATGAGTAACATTTTCTAACCTAATTTTGTCAGGCAAATTAGCACAAATGAATGGTTAACTCTGGCTCAGTGGATATGGGTTTCTTTTCAGACTTATGATTTTTATATTAAGTTAGTTATTGAGCACAACAAATATACCCCATTGCTCAAAATTAGGCCTTGCCTGCAGTGGCACTGAAGAATATGCAATTTATGTGGCTGCCTAAATAACTATTTTGTTGAAATGATTATGTGGAATCTTCCCCATTCTCTGCTATACTTTATATAATGATCATTTTTAATACAAAACATGCAAAAAAAAAGAAAAAAGAAAAGAAAATTGGCTAGATTTCCACTCTCTATTGCACACACATTTATATTCATAGAGTATCGATATGGGTGTGTTTATGTGTGTTTGTGTGTGCGCCTACCTTTAGGGTCACAAATTACTGCAGCGACACATGAGAAGAGAGACCCGCAGCCATTCATCACGACAACCTGAACAAACACAAACATCCACTGAAGGACCCAATTAAGACACGGAAGGAGGCCTGATAAAAAAACGCCCCAAATGTATCCACCTACTGACGCCGGGCTTTCATTACATCTACAAATGGAGCTGGTCGCCCTGAACGCACACGGCTCATTTATAGCATTCGGCATCGACATAATCATTACCGAGTTAATCACATAAGTTACACTGGGTCCATTGCCTTCATTTGTGATGAGGACTGTCATCTGTAGCAGCAGTACAAAACTGTAAATAAAAGTTTAATTTTTCAGTAACGTCAATCACAACAAGATAACTTTTTATCCAAACTGACGAGTTACACAAGTGTCTTATTTTCATCTGCTACGTTTGTTTGTGGTTGAAAAGTTCACAAGAACACAGTGTAGCTATCATTATGAAAAGTAAAAGAGTTGTGCTTGAGTTTTACGTCATGTTAAAAGTAATTCACAGTCAAAAGTGCAACCAGTCATTGTGACAAATACTTTCTTTTGTTTATACTCTTCCGTAGTTTAAACTCATGGAGATTCATTATACTTTCTAGCTTTTGCACAGCATGTTGCACATGTCAAACCTAAATATGCAAAGTGCCTACAATCTACAGTCATCATATGAATGTTGTGAAAAGTGTATTATTTCCCTCTGACATATTGTTGAGAATAAGGTAAATACGCCAGTGTGCAGGAAGCTTACGGTTGTGCACGTACAGTGTGTGAGTAATTGTTCCATTTTATCTCTGTTACTTATACGCTTTCCCCCAAACTCTCTAAGGTTTTAATATATTCAAATGAGCGCAGCTACTGTCTTGCACATGTGCTTCATATTACTTATGTTGTGTTCCAGCAATAAAGGCAATACTCATCACTCACATTGTCAGCTCTCAGTGGGTTTGGAGAACAGCAGTAGTGAGTTAGGAACTTTGCCACTTCCTCTCTCAGGCTGAAAAAAAATAAAAAATTGAAAGAGGAGTCACGAGGCTAATGTTTAGCTTGAAAGGTTTAAAGTGCAACTTTACTATGAGCCATATAACAAATGTGATTTCTTATTAAAAATTAAAACAAAGATCTGCTTGTATGTCTTACAAAGAGTGTCCCCTCCAGTCTGGATACTGCAGCAAGGACGGGTCCATGTGTAGCATGTCAGGCTTGGTCAGCTGTAGCAGAAAGGCAAATGAAACTATTTGTGAATGCAGGCAGAATAATTCAGAATAAAGCAAATAGAAAGCACTTATTGTAGTACATCAAACAGGATGTGACTGTTAGATTTGTCTCACCCGTGTATGAAGAAGATCATAGCATAGTTTGTTCTCACTCGTACCCATGTTGATTATACCCTGGATAAAGAGAAGCATCTTGTAAATAATCCTTATAATGTCATTTTTATATAAACTCCAGCCCTTCCGACCTGTATTTACATCACGACTTACATCAGGGTTGTCCGTGTCGTGGTGTTTGTCCATCCCATACTGGGCATAACCCTCCTGGAGGATGCCTTGATGCTGCCGGATGCTATTACCACGACTGGACAGGTACACACTACATCCAGGAGTCTCTGCACCTCTTAGTGTTGCCAAAGTATTCTGAGACATTTTGCACGATTTGACAGATGCGGGCTGTGACTTTTGCGTCTCCTGAGTGGAAACAGCCTGCGCCGTGGGAGCTTCTGAAGGTGGCTGAGATGAAGATGACGAGACAGAGGGGGCAGCGGGGGTCATCAGCGAAGTTGACAGATGAGCTGAGGGGGAGGTGGGGGGTTCTGTCGGCGCTGTGGTTGGAGCACCCTGTCTGACGGCAAACAACGCCCCCGTGAGCATGCTGAACAGGCGGAGCTCGTGCTGACGCTCCTGTTCGGCCCTCCTCTCCTCCCGCTGCTCCCTCCGCTCCTCAGCCTGCAGCTCTCTCTCCAGCCGGGCCTCCTCCAGCGAGAGGAGACGCTCCTCTGCAGACTGCTGCCAGCTCAGGAAACTTGCCAGGGCTTTGTCCAGGTTCTCCTGACCACCACCTCTACCGCCCCCATGACCCCATGATGTTTTGCCACCCCGGCGACGCTTCCTCTGCCTCACAGATGTTGAGGGATGAGAGCCGTCCTTGCTGGGCTGGCCAGATGAGTCCTGTGCCACAGGGCCATCGACAGCCTGGGTGGCAGCTGTAGCAGAGCCAGCAATGTTCAGGTCACTAAAACCTGGGAATATAAAGAAGAGACATTTCAACTAGATATCACTTTCAAATTGTATGCTGATGTTAACAGTGATAATAATAATAATAATAATGTCAGCATTTGGATTGACAACCTGAGGGTGAGATTCTTGCATTTGTTGAGCTTTCCGGCCGACCCAGCGTGTCCTCTGTCCCCAGCAGAGACTGTCCATCTGTCTCCTGGTCATCTCCAGATCCATAGTACATCTCCGGGGGCGCAACACCTGAGTTCAGCATGCTCTCCTCAACATCTTCACATTTAATATCTAAGGGATCTCCCAGTTTTGGAGGCTGGCCAAACAGAAACCCACCCGAGGAAGCAGGACCAAAGGTGCCCGCTGGAACCCCTTGCAGGTATGCGTCAGGCCCACCGGGGCCCTGAAACACCTGTTGAGCAATGACAGCTCCGCCCAGGGAGGAGTAGGTGATGGCAGGTCGGTTCGCCAGCACCCTGTCCATCACATCGTAGAACTTCCACGACCTCATTTTGTGGTTGTCCTTGATGCGGCGGTATTCCAGCTTCATCTTCTTGATCTTCTCCCTGCACTGGTCGCCGGTGCGGTAGATGCCCTTTTCACGCAAAATGTGAGCAATGCGGTCAAACACACGCTGGTTGCGCAACGAGCTCTCCAGTTCAATCTGGACCGACTCGTCGGACCACAGCTGGAGCAGCTCCACGATCTCCGGGTCAGTCCAGTTGCTGCCCCTCTCATGCCTCCTGCCCCGAAAGTCCATCCTCTAAGTTACAGGACGTATTCTGCAGCACAGGACGAGGCGATATGATACACGTGTAGCCTAACTGTCATCTTAACTTCAGGAATACCGAGAAACGCTGGCACTTAAACGCACCCTTAATGTCACAGTTTAGGAAATATATGCGCGATATTTCACCCACTTATGTTCGCTCACCGTAAATCAAAAGTGCAGCTCTTCGGACACAGACTGTTGTGGAGCTGCCACTGTGATGTGACATCCACGTAGGTCGATACATGTCACGGCTACTTAACCCGGTTTGGACGGGTTTGGAATGGCTTTGTCCGGCCCCGTGCTAAGGTACACAATTCTCTCTCTCACTGCAAATTTGTCATAACTTGAAGAAATGGGGAATAGACGCGCACAAGGATATCTACATCCGGGTTGACGGCACATGCGTGCTGTCCTTATTCCGGGATAACTTTGGTCCGTGTTAACGGGGGAGCTGCTGAAAGCGGGCTGGGTTTTCACTTATACCAGGCTGTAGCGGGGTAGACACAACCATGCGAGTTAGAGTCGGACTGAGAGCTTTGTGTTATGGCCCCCTCTACCGTACGGTGTGCTGCTCTGTCGCTGTTTGTAAGTCCGGTGCACTTCCACAAGATGGCGGTCATACACAGCGGTACGAGCTGCTATTTGTGGAAAACAAGTATGCGTGTTTTGTTTACAGGCGTGGCCCGGATTATCTTTGTAACGATTTCAACATTGAAATTTTAATACGCCGTCTGTTGTAATGATAAATTAGTCTTAATAACAGACGAAAGCAGCTGTAACAATAATAATTTTAATATAATATTATTTTTTCTAAAAAAAAAATTGCTATAATCAAGCTAGTGTTTACGTTGACTCTTTATGTATATTTATTGCTGCTTAGTGTAGTATACCAATGCCAACAAAGCATATTGAATTGAACTGAAAACCTGAGCTGTTTCTATTGAATAAAAAGTGGTAAAACGTGATGCCTTTATAAAGGCTCAAGGCGGTTAAAAACAAAGAGCCGCCCGGGTCACCGACTGCGGTGAGACAAATCAAGCATACACGATAATCTACGTATTTCCTGGAGAAAAAAGGGTTAGTGGCAGTTTGTTGTCATCTCCATCCAATAGTGAACCGTTATATTGTGTTGGCACGTAGCCGCTTATTTTCCCCCTTTTTTTAATCCACGCATTCATTTCACTTGTGTGAAATATTCGCCAGCGAACTCCAGGCAGAAAGCAAACCACTTGAAATGACTGAAACCTTCAGAGAAAGCCGTTTAAAGAAATAACTGGGTGCGACGGTTGAAGTTAACTGGCAAAAAATATAACCATGGTGGTGGCAAGTTGGTGGCGGATGGCACACAAGACGGGATAGTTGAAACACTGCACTTTTGGCAGAGGATGGATGCGTGCGGATAGCATTATAACTAATCTCCGGGATCAAGTAAAGGACGTCAAGGTTTAGATGTAAAGTTGAAAGTCAAACCGCAGGAGAAAGGGGAGTCTCCGCCCGGAGCGAGACGAGGAGGACGAGGAGGAGGCATGACGTCTCGGTCCGTGCCGCTTTCTGACTTGCTAAGGTAAACTGTTGAGACTGCTTTATTGTTTTGTTTTTTTGCTAGTTTTTTTTTTTTCTAATTAAAACCCACGAGTGTTCAAAGCTGGGAGGGGAGCTCAGCTGTGACAGAGTGGGTGGGAACAATGGGAGTATTTGCGGACAGCATTTCAGCACAAGTCTCTGCCAGCGCTGCCAACAAGCTCCTCACCAGTCTTCCCAGTCAGGTGAATCCTTCCCCCAGTCTGGGCTTCTTCTTCTTCTTTTTTTATTTTTTAATTCCAGTGTAGGTGGACCTATCTTATGCTAAAGGAAATATGACTTAGCGAGATAACTGCCCAGCTTTGATCCCGAAGCGCTGCCTCTCTGAAGTTTATTGTTGGTAAGATACCATGTTTGCTCTAACTGTTGTATTTACAGCATTGCATCTGTTAATTCTGATGTATGTTTTTTCTCTCTCTGTATTCCACCCTCCTCTTTGTATCTCACGCACTCTTCCAATTTTCTTTTTTCTACATTTACCCTGAAGCCTGAATGGGCTAAAAACCTCATCAAGTACTTTTATCTGTGTAAGGTGTGAATTGCTGTAATTAATTTTAGTTAGTGCTGCCTCTCAGACAAGGCTGGAATTGTTCAGACCTAGCTACGCACGATTCCTATTCAAACTGGCCTCAAATACTAAGTATGTTCGGGGGGAAGCCAACTGTGACCAGATTGAACAAACAAGCTGGAAAAACTACACCTTAAGTGACCTAACTCATCCCCCTGTCTTGCCCTAAGGTTAGCATTGTTCTTACCTCTAGTGCAAGTCCCACTGGGATCTTAACAAGGGAGGAAGTCAAGGTCACCAGCTATTGAGGCAAACAGCGTTGCTCCCAGCATCCTCCTCAGTCGGATTACAGTACCACACCACATCAAAAGATTACCCTGCAAAACTAATCTTTTTGTTCCTCTCTTTGTTAGGCCTACATCTTTGCCCAGGCCAGTTTCAAGATCAAAGCTATCCAAAAAAAAAAAAAAAAAAGGGTTTGTTCTTGTGTTTATATCGCCAGAGGAAGCTGGACTGCTTCTGCCCAAAACAGCAACGTTCCAGCTCAGTTGGTCCGTCACCAGTAGCGGGTTTAACAGTACTGGTAATTCCTCAGCTGCGAGCTCTTAGGAAGCACACATTTTTACAAGAGGCATAAAACAGGAATGCAGCGGAGGAGAAAGAAGTAGGAAGACAAACTTGTCAACAATATAACTCATCTATAAACTAGGGCAGTGAGGGTTGTGGATGAGGAAAAGTTTATCACAGGGAACAATGCCAAGATTCAGATGGCTGTTAAAAATTGGGTTGGATCTCTCCGTGGGACATTACTTACAGAATTGATTCTTTTTCCTGGACACATTGCTGCTGCTGCTCCAGACAACATTTTATCAGGCGTTTTCCATCTCTCTAAGTCACAGACAGTGGGAGTCGGCATGGAGCAGGCTTTACCGGTTCTAAGTCATGGTGTTCTCACTCACTTCAACTGTGCGTCTCAGATGATCACCATACCGCTCTCTTCCAGCTGTGTGCTGCTGTCCTGATAGAGCACAACATGCCTGTGCAGTGCCTCTGGTTTTCCAATCACACTCTAACTTGGAGCAATTTTCCCTCTCAGGAGAGGATACTTGGCTGTCAGTGGTACTTCACAAATGCTGCAGCTCGGTTGTGTGCCTTGGTTTTTCTGTGAGAGGGCATCCCAGAGCACATGGTGGGTGTTGATTTGGCTGGTGGGCAGCCTGAAATAGAGCTGGAGTGCTGCATATGGTCTGTCACAGCTTCGTGTACTTGTCATTACCAATGGAAATTGCCTGTTCATCCCCACATTTATTGCATCTTTCCAGATTGATACTAATGCAGAAAAGGTAACTGGATGCACAAACTCTTTGTCAGATGCATCCCATTTGCACTGTTGGGTGTTGGTGTGACTGTTGTCGTCTCCTCCTGCTGTTCACTAAGCAGTTGCTGTGGATCAGTGGGGGATAAAGCGTTTTCCAGATGAGTATAGGAGAATGAAGCTGGCAATTTTATGGTCTTAGGAAATGCGTGCGCCATTATACTGGTAATGTTTCTGCATTCGCGTGACTGTTGGTGTTTTAATTAGCATTGGAAATGACGGGTCAGTCATTCATTAATCATTCCACCCAGCAAAAAGTACAAGACTTTGTCCAGAACAAGCGTGGACATCTTTGAGTTTTAAAAGAACTAATGATTTACTGGATTATATTATCTTTTATGTAAACTGTCTGGCAAGGATCCTGCAAATTTGATCATTAGAGAGCTCTGACAAAGACACATACTGAGGCCAGACATTTTACAGTTGAACTGTAAGCTTTTTATGTAAGATGGCACTAGCCGTGAATATAACGTATGAAAGAAATGAACACTAACCTTTACTTGAAACTGAATTATTAAATGAATATAAATATCTGTAAACACAGCTGGCATGAAATAAATATGAATTAAGAAAAAATAATGGCCACATACTCTTGCAACCTATAAAAATGCTTTTTATGCCAGAACTACAATCAGAGTTAATCTATCTGGGATAAGCCAGTTTGGACAAAAATATCGTTCCAGCTGGTGTATCTGTTGGGCATTAACGTTAAAATTCAGAAGAGATTAGACAATTGTATCATATAACTACAGTAAAGCCTGGGAGTTAAGCAAAAAGAACATAATTTGGCATTTTCTAATACCTTATGGATACTGTTTTTATATGATTGTAGTTATTAGGGGTGAACTGATACGTGTGTCTCAAGGTCGTTATAGGCTGTCGTTGATTAGTAATCAGTGTGAGAGATTACCAGAACCAAAGGACATTTGCAGAAAAAAAATGAAACTCTTGATATCAAAATTTAGAACAACACAAAACTCCAACACAAAACCTTGCTGGAATGCCCCTATTAATTTATGTTTTACATGTTTTAATTAAAAGAGAACTTTTAATCTTTAAGGCTTTATTCTCCACAGGCTGTTGGCCAAGGACTTAATGAGGTTATCAAAACAATAATTATTGTACATTGTGGATGCCTTTCTGATCCAGCTTCCCCCCCACCTCCTCTCCTCTTCTCAGTGTAGCTGAATCGTGATTAGGTGTCAAAACACAGGAATCACTGTGGTTAGTTTGTACAACAAAGCCTTGTTCTGCTGGCCACCGAGCAGCTCCACAGGTGAAGCGCGCTCCTCAAGGGCACCTAAGCTGTCGATGCTGAGGGACAGAAGGGGATGGCTCATTATGAATTTCCGAGACAGAACGTCGATGCAAAGTGTTTTGACTGACAGCAGTGACCCGTTGTTGCCGCCGATGCTCTTGTGTTCCAGAAGTGAGAAGGCGTCTTGTGAAACACAGGTTATCCTCGATCAAAACTACACGCCCTCCTTATCGCCGTGACATACTGAACCGCATCCGCGGGCCTGTCAATAGTTTGAAGCAGAAGGTGTTGGCTCAATAATTCAAAGCGTTCGTGTTATGTTAGCATACCACAGGTCATTTGTTCACCCCGGCATTTCCGCTGGTTCATTTACTCCAGTGTGGCACTAATCTTGTTAGAGGTTGCGCAACCGCTTTTCTGTTTTCATTGTAGTTTAGATTCGAAAGTCTTAGTTCTCCTGCGGTTTGAAGGTTGAAGTTTCATCTCGGTTTTGGGCCTTTGATGTATATTGTAAGAGTAAGCAGCCTCTTGTTAACTCCTCTCCAGGCTGTGTTTTGAGAGAACGTGTTTTGGGCGTGTTGTGTTATAATGTGCTCGTTATTTTCCGCAGTGCTGTAAGGGAGGGGGGCAGGAACACCCCCACCCACCCCACCTTTCTCGCCTCCTCTCTCTCCATCGACTCCTCACTCTCTCGGTGACAGCAGACCCATGCTCCTGTTTTTGTGGCTCCAGCATAGCATCTAATGAGCACAGAAGAATTGCTCCACAGGAAGAGTGACAGCCCCTGGTCATGTATCCACCACCTCTCCTGCTGCGCTCAAATCACACCCACTCCCAAATATATCTGTGAAGGCGCAGACATATTCAGTGAGCCTCTCCTCTTTGAATAGTTCGGATGCGTATAACTCACCGGAAACAGGATAATTGTTTGGGAGAATGAAGAGGGAAAGGGCAATTTCTTTCTTAGAATGTTAAGAAATGTTTGCCAGTTTCAGGAAGAACTTAATAGAAAAACAACAGCTACCTGCAAGTTGCCCACTGCCAATATCTGTTCCTTCAGTTAGAGTTTGTAAGTTTTATTATCAAGAGAGGGCCAGTTATTTAAAAACACCCATACTCACTATAGGCAATCAATACAGATCTGCTCACTAAAATTGGAGCCTTTTAAAGGGAGGATTTTCTTTCAGCTTTGTGAAGAGCATCTTGCAGTTTGAATTTTAACTAAATGTATACCTAATAACCTGTCCTGGCTTGGTTGCTCTTATTTTGAGATGATAGATAGATAGATAGATAGATAGACAGACATGTTACATACATGTTTTCCTACACATTATGTCACTGGGGTGACCAGCCTGCAAACTGCTCGTTAAATTTAACGTCCATCCAACCTCAGCTCCGTTTCCCCAAAGGCTAAGATATTCTTAAGCCCCTTTCATTCACATAGTAATGGACATTCATGCCATTCCATTAATTTGATGGTATCTGAACATGTGAGCTTTATGTGTGAATGAGCACTCTGCTAACTTTTCCTTAGAAGTCATCATGGCAATCTTACAAGGTCAGACCTAGTGTAATTTTCGTGCCACTTTCCACACAGCACAGGTGTTGAACTGAACTAGCATGTCGTTGCGTTAACAGATAGGCAGACTTGGAGATGAGTAAAGTGATTCGGGGAAGGTTTTTTTTTTTTTTTTGAAATGCTGTGCCAAAGACACAGTTTGCATGCCAAAATCACAAAACACCTTTTTCTGTTCAATTTGCTCTGCAATTTCACACCTTTTACAAACTGAAATGTCAATTATAAACAATTTCATTGCGATGAAAACAGAAACTGTAACAGGTTGGTTTTCTGAGACTCACTAATAATGGATATAATCTGAGTTTTGACTAAATGTGCGCAAGGGCTGAATTGAGTTTGTTGCTTTTAGCTATTTGTAGGAGTCTTTCCCCCTGAGCATCACCAAAGACAGAGAGAGTTGCGTGCATTTACGCACGTGGAACAACAGAAGCAACTTCATTAATTATAAATTATTCCAGACATGGAGACAGGATCTGACGGCAAGTCACACTGTGTACTCTTCCTCACATCAGACAGGTGAGCTGTCATTCACAGAGCCACAGTGCATACGCTGCAGTTAAATAATTTGTCACACGGGGGATTTTGATTTAGCCTTTTGTTTATTACTGCATTGTTATGCATTCTGTCGCTTGATGTACTGTCTAATCTTAAATGTACTTTGTGTATCACTGCTGTGTCCATCACTGAATGAAGCTGTGAGGAACATTAATGTAGAAGTGACCTATGTCTGAATGACAAACTGCTGTCACTTAAACAGATTAATGAAGCCAGCAGATATCTGTCATGTCTGAGAAGGGCTTTTACTTACATTGTAAATCTAATGGTGAAGATGCTGTATTTAAAAAAACAACGTCATCATATTTTCAAATCATTCCCCAGTATGACTAGACTATCTGTGCTGCCTTGAGCCCTGCTTTTTTTTTTTTGCTGCTTTCAATTATTACTGTGCACAAGGAATTCTACCACACTGCTCTTAGGCACTGCCATCTTTCCATCCATCACATCTTAAGGGACACAAACAACAAGGAGTCCTGAAACAGATGGTGTGGCTCCCTCAGACTTATGATCTGAACATCATTCAATCAGCCTGGCGGTACATGAGGAGACAGAGCAAGTTCTCCAAGGTGCTTGGAGCAGCCTAACTGCTAAGTATCTTGAAAAACTGCACACAAGTGTACCTAGAAGAATAAGTGCTGTTTTAAAGGCAGTGGGTGGTCACTATTTTATTTAAAAATGCCTAATGCGACTTACCAGATTTAGGATGCGGGGTATAAGCTACTGATCATGTCCGTCAGCTTTGTCCTCACTTCCGCTATCTGTGTTTTTCTTTACCACGGGAAACTACAACATCAACCTCAGAGCAGCAACCTGCCACACTGAAAATTCTCAGTTTTGGCCGGGATTCTGATCATGCAGCAAGGCAAACCCTGCTAGATTGTTTTGGTGGATTATCCGTTTTAATCAAAGTGCTCGTCTCCTTGCATGCAAATGCTCCACCACGACGATTCCACCTGTCACTATAATGAGGAAACACCAAAGCTGCATCTTTCGCTTACCTCGGCCCCATGACGACTGTGATTGGTTTAAAGAAATGCAAACAAGCCGGAGCGTTAGTTTTTTTTTTTTCCTCCCCCTACAGCAAAATGATAGCGTGGTGAAGCCAAACCACTATGTTCCCCAGAATGGCCTGAAAAAGCGAGACTCGAAGGTATCTGATTGGTGGCACTATGTGATAAATGCTGGGGGTTTCAGTTGGCAAATCTAAAACAAATTGAACACCTACTGGAGAGTTTGGATGTGTGAGACAGTGTCATCCATCAGAGTCTTAGTGCGGTGGCTCCACACTTTACTCATGCACTTCATGTTGGATTTTTTACTTTTGTCACTATCTCTGGTTGTCAAGATGTCTCGCTTCAGACTAAATTGTAGGACAGACAAATAAATCTCACATCATTGCCAGGTTAAGGAAAGAATTACTACCATCTTAATTCTCTGTCTATATCTACTAAGAGGGTTTATGTTGGATATTGAACCCCTAGCAGGGATTGACTCACTGAATATCACCGTGGTACCCTGTTGGGAGGGAGGGGGGATCGGCAGTGAAACAGTACAGGCATTTAGGTCTGCATCATCTCCCTCTTCCTCATCTTTCTTAGGATGAACTGATATATTTAACGGATCCCCAGACCTTATCTTTCTTCTTACTCTGAGTCAGTTACCTTAAAGCTTTCCTTTTTATGTGTGTCTTACAAGCTTCTTTCCGATGACTCAAAGAGCTGCACATCAAAGGCCAGCAGAATGCCCAAGTCTGAAAATCTTTCACATTTTCAACACCTGCTCCAGTAACGATCCTTTTTATCGCGCTTGTTATTTTAGTATTCAATTAAAATTTTTAAACATCACCTTTTCGTACCTACTAAGTACTTGTATGAATTTGAATTTTGGAATATCCTAAAAATTAAGGGCAGCGTGTGAGTCAGAATTGAAATATCCTCTCCCTCAGAAGCCTTTCCTCTCTTGTTGCCATTAGCTGTGTATTGGTTTGCTGCGAGCTCTTCCTGTATTGCAGCAACATGCCTACTGTATATCATTATCATACATTACCATTTCAGGTCTGCAAAAATGAAGGGGGAGTGAAAAATAATTTTGTTCTTGGCACATCCTTTGTCTGTTTTGACCTAATATGTATGCTTTGCACATGTATTAAGTTTTATTTTTTTCTCTGTTTGACAGTGGACAGTGAGCTGAGCATGACGCATGATAAGGCCTGTGGGTGTGCTATTTATTTTTGCTGCAGTTTTGACCCGTTAGCGCTCCAGTTTTTTGTTTTCCGAATGCTATCTGCAGTAGGTAATTTCAGGTCCAAGAGTGACCCATTTAAGAAGGCCATATTTTTGTTTATAGCTTGCTCTGTCCTCTCATCTCTAGGCCACTGTTCTACTTTGCTGCTGTAAGGTAGAGCAGCCCCACTCTGCCTGGGAAGCTGTGACAGACGGACGGATAGACTGCCCTGAGAAGAGTTCTCCTTTTAATGGATGCCAGGGTGGCCCTGCTGCTCTTACGGACAGGTCTTGTCCTGCTGACAGCTGAACTGAAGTGGATTGATGCCGCAGAGGTCTACACCAACACTTGGGCTGTCCACATCAATGGGGGACCAGGGGTGGCTGACCGCATCGCCAGGGAACATGGTTTCATCAACCACGGAAATGTGAGTTATACCTACCGTGTGTAATACAGTCGTGACTTGATAATCTGACACTAAATGTAAAACCTTCTTTTATGTCGGATAGCAAGGCTGTCGGATTGTCAAGACGGAGGTCGAGATACAAGGAGGGCTTGATGCTTGAAGGGTCATTTGTTATTAATTAATGATGAATTAATGATAAATATCCGAATATTCGGCTGGGTCAGGGGGGCACTTCCACCCCAGGGGAGTGCTCCGACGGGGTGGAAGTGGCCGGAACACACAGACAGTATTTGGCTGCTGATGCCAGTTTAGTTAGCAGTCAGAGTTCTGTTTCCACCATCAGTGACGGAAGCAGCGGTACCACCATCCATGTTTACTTCCATAAACACTGAGCACGCTCGCTGCATGTGACGTCGTCGTGTCCTCTTCTGTGCATGCGAGACACTTTTGGGTCGTATGAAGTTCACACAGAAGATCACATACAAGTCACGTTTAATTTTAAATGTGAACGAACCTGCAAAAAAATTGGATTTCACAAAAAAATCCGAATTGAGCATCAAGTCCTGCAGTCTGAAAGTAGCCAATCTGTGGGATTGTTCAGTCAGATAATACGCCGTTATCCTTATTTGTGACATAAAATGTCATGTCGGACTCAGAATCCAAGGCTGTCTGTATGTTAAGGCTGTTTTTTATGGGATCCATTAGTTTTTCCTAAAAACCTGTCGGATAGCAGGGTTTCTCGGATTGTTGAGGGTCAGATTATCAAGTCACCACTGTATTCAGAAAAAGTATTCTGTGCACGCTCTAAGTTTGTGTTTGCCTCTCTCATATCGAATACCTATACCGCTTCACGTGAAGCTGTATATAAATACAGCTATGACTTATACAGTACGTGAGCATCAGTGTTACAAAATGATTGCACATCAAAGCTGAGCATCAGAGAGCCTGACATAACACCTCCAGGCCACCCTGTTTGTGCGGCAGATTGCTGAAGTGTGGCCTCCTCAACTTCTTGCAGCTTAAGTAGGGCATGCATGACTTCCCAACACATTGGCAGACAGTTGTGTTTACGGAGTAGTGTTAGAAATAGACGGGAATAATAAGGCTGTCTAAAAGAAGGTTGTTATGTTTAATTATGATGTAGGCAGTTTAATTTTATTGCTCGCTCTTTAGCTTCTGTTTTTGGGATTGCCAAGTCATTTTAATTAATTGAGCTGTGGTGTCACACAGTTTTTAGATAGGGCAAAGAAAAACAATAGTCAGAAGAGGCGAAAAAATATGGAGGGGAGCGGCAGAAGTGACTTATCGTGCTTTCAGTGGTGTGTTAGGTCCCTTGAATATCAAAATGCTTCCAAGGCTGAGCTTTTTCATATTTGTGTTCAGCACTTGACAGTGAGTTGCTGTTTGGTCCTCTCCTCTCCTGTTGCTCCACTTAAGACTTAACTTCATTTGCATGTGTCTTTGTGAAGCTGCCTGTGTGCTACACACGCCAGTGAACAGCCCTCTGGATTACTTCTTAGGAATATGCGTAGGAGGTTCTGCATATTCCCATCCCACCTCTACCCACCTCAAATAAAGAGGATTTTCTGAAAGAGAGGTTTGCAAAATTAATTCAGGCTTATCTTTGCTTTCTTTACTTTGTCAAAGATAGAGCTTTGTCTGCAGTGCAAAGCGAGATGTTTTTAGTGTTTCTGCGAGCAGTTGTCATGTGGGTTTATGACAATCTGGACAAGATTATACATGTGTCAGTATTAAATGCTCCTTATCGTCCACTCTATTATATTAAATCATATCCACGTGACTTAATATTGAGCTTGTCTCAGGACTTACGTTCTGCTTGAATCTGCAGTTGCTTTAGTATTGAGCTGATGTACTTGCAGCCGTTCCACTGGAAAACATTTTAAAACTATTTTACTGCAGGGTGACAAAAAACGTACATTATTTATACAAGCCCCTAACAGACATTTACTCTTAATTATTTGTTAATTCCAGATAGCAAATCAATCTATAGTGCTCATAAATTGGGTAAAATGACATTTTCAATTTTTCTGCCCACAGAATGCACTTATGTTCTGGAGAAACAATGTTATAAAATAAAAGTCTCCGCTGAACAAGACAATTGTACTTTCTCTCACATTCCCCTTATGCAATCGCTTTCCCCCAAAAATCTTTAATCGCGTTCTTTCTCCCGTTTGTCTCTTGTTCCCTCGTTTCACCCCACCACAAAAAATAACATTTGGAGCCTGTATTGTGCCTATTATACCACCAGATTAATGGGTAGATGTTTAGCCTTCTTTCCCCTTCTGTTAATTAGTGATTGCGTCAAAGTAGGAGATGCTGGAAGAAGGCACAGGAATGAATCCTCACAGACGACTCTCTGTTGCTAAATCTCTTGACGCCATATGGCAGGTTGTCAATTTAGTGCATGTGACATAAAGCTTCTCAGGCCCCGGAGAAAGAGGAATATAACCCCATTTCACAAAGTTAGCCCTGAAAGCATTGTGCTCATCTCACCCCAGTCAACCTTTCAGTACCTTTCTTTGTTTTTTTTTTTGTGCATGACACCAACCAAAGGGATGCAGGTTTTATGTGAGGGATAGATATTCCAGCAGTACTGTAGATTCCTGCTAGTTCAACAGGGTGAGCATGGAAACAGAGGAGAAACGAGCGTAGAAAGGAGTGAGACAATTACCAATTCCCCACAAAAATAAGACGAGTAAAAAGGAGACACATAGTGACAGCTAGATGACTGTGAGCTCGTGTGGGAGACACTAGCAAAAAATTAAAATAAAAAAGGATAGCTGGTGTAGTATAGTGTTACGGACCGAAAAGCATGAGTGCTGGATGACTGGAAGGTTGAAATTTAGTATTATCCACTGTCTGGAATTAGATTTTGTGGGAGTACATCTTCAGTCATTGTTTCACAGAGGCACCCAAATAAGCTTTATTTTAGTGTCTAGTCCCTGAGTGGGTGCGATGAGAGAAGGATAATCTACAGGCTGTGTGCAGTGTTTGCACACTGGCAGCATAGTGTGGGTTATATGAGGGTATGGGTTAGGGCTGGGGGCTTAGACGGGGAACAACTTAGTCATTTTCTCATCATCCTCGGTGGTTATTCTACAGGGCACATAAAGAGAGCAAAGATGCTGACGTATAATCAGGAGGTAATGGGATTTTTTGATCACTAATGTGATTATAGGATCATCACATAACTGATTATTTGTTCACTGCAATACTTTGAAATGCCTTAGTGTCTTGGTGCGTCTTCATGTATTTGCAGATTCACTCATTATGCTTCAGCCTAATATTCTTTTTAGGGAGTGTAAGGGAAAGAAAGCGTGTGTCTGTGACTGTGCACACATGTGGTTGCAAACCAGGGTTTAAGAGTAAATGTCACCGAGACTTCCCAGCGTGCATCGGCATTTTACAGGTTGTCACAGAGCATTGTTATATCTGTTTCTCTGTAATGCGTTCAATAATGTTTTTTTTTGCGTTTTTTTTTCCAATAACGCTTTTTGGCTACGTGGGAGTTCCGGACCAGGGTTTAGAGCTAAATGTCATGTTGTGTTCTTGGTGAGCCGAGTCAGAATCATTGTTTTTATGAGCACGGGCAGGCTCTGTGGGCGTTGACAGACTGAATCACCCTGGAGTAGACGTCTAAAGCCAGAGCCTCTCTCTGTGCCTCTTTGTCTTTCTATCTCTCTCTCTATCTGGGTCCCCTGGTCTCCCTCTATTTATAGATAACTCACTCAAAACATGTGGCAAGTGTGATCCGGAATAAAGGTTTTTGTTATCCAGCTTCCCACTGTCTGACGTACCGGTAGTGGCCCTCTTCAAAAACCGAAGGAAAACAGTCAACTGGCTTTTTGTGTTGGAAAGCTCACAGGTTATTTCCAGGTAGTGAACAGTCATCCTGTGGAAATTGATGGTAGTATAATACTCCTTTTAAAATCCAGTTTACCAAACACACACACAAGCGCTCTGTGCTAGGTGGAATGTAATGCAATCCAAGACTTCTGTCCGTTACTCTGCACATGACACCCTGCCAACTTTGTGACGCACCAACCTACTGGCCAGTTTTCTCTCTCTTTCTTGATTTGATTCAACAAGCTGCATTGGCATGAAATATAACTAAATAAATTCACGAAATATATCTCACTGTCACTCACTCCTTTTTCTTTCTGTCATCTACTTATCTGGTGGATGTGAGAGATGGTCACAGCACATCAGCATTGAGCGCATGCAGAAATGGCACTGATACTTTTAGGTACACACTAGGACGGTCGTTCTGTGGGTGAGAGGAGTTTGATTATTTTCTATTTGATTTGTGAAGTGAGCCCTGTCAGATGGAATGGTTATATCAGACAGTGTCTTTGCTTTTTATCTTTTCTTCATTTGCCTCAAGTGCAAATGGAAGGCGCACGAGTCTGTGTGTGTGTGGGCGTGTGTGTGTGTGTGTGTGTGTGTGTGTGTCCTTATTTTAAGGTAATAGTTTCATGAAAAGAACCTCAAAACTGTCTCCTTCTCTCTCTTTCTCACTGGGTTTCCATCTCAGTCTGTCCCTGTTGTTTTCCCTCCAGTGCATACCTGTTCTGAGATGTTCATATTCACACACTTCAACACTCCAGTCTCACTTATAAACCCATACTACACTACGCTGTTCTGCAGCACATAGTCAGTCAATGCCTGTACCTGCAGTCTTTGTTGTCTTCAATTTCCCGCAGGACTTTGAAGGGGAAAATAGGGAGTGCCTCCTTGAATAAAAGCTGTGAAGCCTTGCCTTTGGCGTTAATGAATCTCAATAGAGTCTGCAGAGGTGCTAATATATAATAATGGTACCAAGAGATTATTGTAAGAAAGAGATTGTCTGTCACCAGAAATCCAAGCCTTTTTTACTCTGTCACACTGTTGTCTTAACTCATTCTTAGGCTGGCTTGTTTGTCTTCTTCCTTCTGTTCTTTGTTTTTTCATAAGCAAACAATTTTGTCACTGCAATAAATATTCACTTTGGAGGAGTGAAC